TACAGAAAAAAAGCGATTGAGGAATGTATGCAAAGGCTTTAATTCGATTCGACTTCCGCTATTTTGTTCCAATTTTATAATCGTGAAAGTGTAATTGGATGTGTTGGCTCCATCTACCAGGGAGTATTACCAATTAATTACCTACACGATTTCATAGACAACTCTCTAAATTCTTCCTTATTAAATGTACTTAAATTATTGCGTTGATTACCCTGCGTTAAACACTTCGCGTAACTGGTAGCCCCTATGCATTATAAGACATTGTTTAAATGCTTTTAAAAGGTTGCATTTTAATAAATGTATTTGCATCTCTGACCATAAATTACCTTTCACTTAGGCTTTGTGAGTGTAGAGAACTTCAAGGAGAAATGCAAACAACTTTATTCAGATAAAGGGATCACCTCAAATTCCTCTACCATTGCTAAGCTCGCAATGCTTCTAGATTTTAACAACGATGGAATTATTGATTTCAACGAATTTATTGAGGGTTCTCGACTTGTGCAAGAAAACTGTAAGTTGGTTAGTTTTTTTTTTGTTGAATTACTACATTCTACCGACAACCCTACCTTTAAACAGTTCAAAATACCGCATATTACAGTCACTAGGAGTCCTACGCAAAATGAAACACATTTTGAAAGGCAACTTCTAAACACCTTTTTTTAAAAATTCGGATAAAAAACATTAGGACTTCATAAAAAGACATTTTAATGAAGTAATAATGTCAAATTGTACAATTTACCAACATAATTGCAGATTCTACCTATTGGATTTAAAAAAATTACAAGACAATGGGTACACTGGTGTAAGAAAATTAGACATAGTTGAATCACTTAAAATAGCTTTAAAAATGTTTTGGAGAACATTAATCCGCAGACCGATAGCAATTATACATTAGGCCATTCAAGGCAAATCAAATTCTCGCTGTTGTCGGCCCCTAATGCTCAATTAGATAATGTCAGCTAAATGGAAAAAAATAACACTCAATAGTCGGTCTCTTAATAAATAAATAATTATTCCTGTGAGGGAATTGCCAATCCTTTTTTGGCTAAAGTATTCCAGTTAAATTTACTATTTTTGAGGGTTAAACCTAGTCCTAAATAAGTGTAAACAGAGAGGCACTTGTGTGAATTCTGCTTCAAAGTTCGAGGTGGGTGCTTACTAACCGCTCATCCCTTCCAGTTTATAACCTCATATCAAGATTTTCATAGACATAAATTTCAAAAAAAACCTTTGAAAAGAAAATGTAGGACGATTTTAATCGCCTGCCACCGAAAATGTTCAGTCTAGTAGTAAACCACTTAAAAATCAAGCTCTTCGCAAACAATTAACAAAATTCACAAGTTACTCAACGCAAGTCATGCCGTTTAGCGTAATGATTAACAAAACATGCTTATTCCTCTCAGCAAAAACGATGAAATGTCACTAGACTACTTTTAACTGTTTCTTTTCTTAAAGTATTCATTAGACTGATATTAAAGTGGTAAGGAACAGGAAAAGTTTCTTTTTATAAAATGCAAGTTTTGCTAGAAAATACAGTATTGTAATGCTTAGTCATCTTAATTTAAACCAAGCCATTACAATAGCCTAAATAAACGAAGGAACTGGTATTAAATAGTTTAACTAACCTTGTTATATCCAATGCATTTGCATTTTTTTCAGTAAAATCGTTGTCTGTTAATTAGAAGCGACTTTTCAACTGTGCAATTCAATATTAGTGAATGTTTTGAGAAGTATTTAGTGGTGCTCTGAAACACTATTCCAATATGCACAGTGTTTTCTTGATAACACATTTTATCTTTCTAACTTACTTTATTTTGTTCTATTTAGAACGCCGCAGTGAAAATGGAGAGGGGTTTATGGACATGTGTGCTGTGAATACAATTGCTTTAGTTAGATACCTCTTCAGAATTTGATCATGATCTATTCGAATGTTATCAATTTAAGATGTTTTATAGTTGACTTTGAACGTTAGAAACTAAGTAATTTTAGTATGAAAGCAGTAGCAAATTGAAGAACATTCGGCCAATTGTCAGTATAAAGTGAGCGAAAATAAACCAAAATCTACCACGAAAGAGCCTCTGAATTAATGTGAAGACAAAGTTCACAGTCAGTTCTAAAATGTAATGTGCTTTTGGATAATATGAGGAACGCCAAGTTATCTGAAAAGGAATTTTACAAGTAAAAACCCAGATAAACAGATGCAGTAAACTTATTTTTGCGCTGCGTGATGCCGATACATGAATGAAGGCCTTCCTAAGCTAGTTCGCCAACACAACTAGCAACTACTTCATTGTTGTCAATAAGTTGTAAATACGAACTTAGTTCACGCAGTATTTGCGCATTTTTACCTTATTCAGAATCAGAAACTGTGCTTGTAGGGTGTCCATACGAATTCAACTTCAGTCGAGGTTTTTTGCCCGGAAGCAAAAAGTGGATGAACAGGGAAAAAATCTTAGTGGGCCCAATTTTGAACTAAGGCCCTTAGTTCTATTAAGATTAATGTGTCACGAGAAAAGGAAATTTTGGAGTATTATGATTAAAGGGGCTTGTTAGCGAGCGCTTTCTTTTTGTGCACAAAACTGTTGACACGGATCCAGTTTGACAGGGCTGGTCTTTGCAAACTTGGCTCATTTCGCATTTTGAAATTCCTGGCCCTCCGGATCCCCTACTTTGACAGAATCCGTATTCTTCATGAAACGTCTTGCCACACCCAGTCCGCCTTGTTATTAGAGATTTTGTGTAAAATCTCAAAACAAACGCTCATTGGGCATTCTAAGTTGACTGAGTTTGGAGGTTCTTTACAACCAAAAATGTCTTTTATGCTGCAAAAATGGCATTTCTAGAAAAGAAAAAGGATGTTTTGAAAAAAATAAAGTAAATCCTTGATATGGTAATTATATTTTGGGTAATTTGATTGAAAATTGTTCACTTAACTAGGTGAAAAATGTTTAATTTTTCGGAACACTTTAATAGTTTATTGCGACTACCTAGTTTTCGCTAACTGAAGCAAACTGAATACTACGCAGTTCTTAACAAAGTAAGCTTTGCATCTGAAATATTATTAAATGTCAACCAGTGGTATGATAATGTTAGAAGTTCATCAAGGTATCCTAAGACGACGTGAGATATGCCATCTGTTCATCTAATGACACATGAAATTGAAGTGTCTGCAATTCACTCAAGAAGGCCAGCATTTCTTCAAAATGTCATCGCACTAATCCTCTTTAAGTGTATTGGTGAGTAGTTGTCGTTGGTTAGCCACGTTGATTATGAATCTTTCATTGCCTAGTCAGAAGTCTGGTTAAAGGAGGTCAGTAAATTCTGTTTTAATTTATATCAGACATATGGCATGAGAGTTGCATAGGCGTACCAATTATTCTGCTTGGGTTTACATTGATGTTATAGCTCCGTGCTAATTTAAAGTTAATTTCGAACCATTTGAGCCACCTCTAATTCCCTAATCTCCAGACAGTTTGCGACGAGTATTTCTAAGCAACCTATGATTTAAAGAACTACTGCATTAAATTCCTTCATTTGCGATAAAGGTACATTTTAAATGAAATGATTTTTTTCCGACAAATGTGGTTAATCTCACTGTCCCTTCGTTTAACCCCAGAATAATTGAGCTTACAAAGGTTCTCAAACATGCTTTTCGAAAAGGGCAATTACCAAATTGATTACTTATGACAAAAATCAAGGCTGTACTGATTTTAAAAATGTTTGTGACTAGAAAATATGATGCAATTCGGGTTCAATAGCATACCGGAACATTCAACCTGTTAGGCAGTAATTGAGATCATCGTGGATTTTACCACAATGTGAGTTCTGGCTTAATACTGATGTGATAAGCCATGGGTGCACTGTCAATGATCACTGTGGGACATCTTCAAACAGTTTGGTTGATTAAATTAAGAAGTTATTGTGGTTTGCCCTTCAATTATTTGCACAGTTAGTATCACTGTAATTTTCTACTTAAAAGCCCATTTTTAAGGCCGAATTGTAACGAACTGGTGACTGTAGAGGAATTTAGTATAATGACGGATATACGATAAAGCCACTGTGCTCTTATCTGATTACTAAGTGCGTAAGCCCACTTGAGTTTGGAGTTTAGGGATTCTAATGTTCGCTGGTTATGTCACATATAAAAATGCCATTAGCTCGAGTTATCCTAATGGGTAATTCATTAGCATTTGAAACCTAACTGAATGAAGTAAGTAAAACGACAAAGGAGTGAAGTTTGTTTGCAGTAGTTTATGTTTTTGGAATTTTGCACAGAGGCAAAAATTCGTCTGGGTTTCCTTTTACAAAAATATCCGACCTGCTTTGTAGGGTTACAAGGAAATACAAGCAGTTAATTGTTATTATGTTGTCATCTAATAGGAAAGACGTCAATGGCTGCTCAAACAAACGAAGGCATTTGACAAATTTAAGATGAAGCCATGGGAATAAAATTTTTGGTAACAAGAAGCCACTGCCATTTTTGACTAACCAAAATTCGAAAACAACAGTGTCATTATTATTCCATCTTGTTTTTAGCCTCTAAATCAAATTTAGGATGCCAATTCTTCAAACCTTTTTATTCTTTTGACAAAGTTCGATTGAATGTTCACATCGCCACCAATGGCATTATGATTCATGTCGTTTACAAGGAACGAAAGTGCTATCAAGCGCGAATGATGCGATTACGATATTCAATGTCTAGGCACTTTTGCGTGGCGTCAATCGTTGCTTTGTGACCTGCGAAGCAATGTATTTTCGAGTAATCGTTTGAAGGACTGTTAAACCTTTGTTTGGTGTTACGCTTTTCACCAATCCATCATGATCGAAAATTCCCACAAAGTTTTGATACTGACTAATATTCATTGAGTAGTCTAACTAACATTCGGTCATTGTTTGCAGTGAAGCATTTGTCTCTAATTGACTACGGTATAGGTTTCGTAATGGTAAGATGGCCGACTAAAACCAAAACGCTGAAAATCTTTTCCTACTGTTCTAGTATACATCGCCTATACAAAAATAAATAGAATTTAATGGACGTCATGATGAGGAAAAGATAAACGTGAGCACATGCATCTAAATTTCATTCATTGCATCCACTAAAATAGCCATTTTGCTGTTTGCATTGTCAAAAAATATGTAAAGGAAGGCTATTGCATCCCCTGCCGCAATGCAAAACTGTGTCTTTTGAGAGAAAAGTAGTATTGTTGAAAAACACGGCTCTATATCCAAAAATACCTACATTCTTGATTCCCATTTAGTGGGAAATGTAAACGAGGAATCGAAAACAGAGGATGTTTCTTACCTTAAATAATAAACTGGGACATCAAGAATGTCCTGCACCACATAAATATAGAATTCAAGAAATTCGCGATCTCAAATTGCCATCAGTTGTCACTGGGTTGAGTTCTCGCCCATTCCTTGACGTTACTCGTAATAATTAGACGTAATCTGATTTCCTCTGATTGCTGTTCGAACATTTTAGTGTTTATCGACAGTTGAATAAATAATGTTAATATATTTCCGTCACTTCTGCTTCAAGTGACATTTTAGCTTTGTCAAAATTTTACAAAATAGATATGAAAAATGAATCGTCTGGACAACTAGAGCATGTTATTTCGAAATCAGAAAGAGACAGCCACATTTATCTAAGAATGCAATCTAAAAATTGCAACAGAAAATGCGCTAGATGCTTCCGATCATTTTTAATGTTCAAATACTTAAGCCGAGATGAATGCAAAAACGATATATGTTGGTTTTTGGTCGAACATCTCGAAGTGCAAATATATAGTTGAATATGTGATGTCATTTGTAAGTAATAGTATATAGAATATATGTATATATCAAAAGGCAGAAACAAATGGGACGGCACCAATCTGTCTGACAATGGACAGTTATTTTACAATGACTCCCTTTTGTGGGTCGGCTTGTCTAAATAAGTGTTGTGCGCTGAGATAGATTGAGTGAAGGCATGCGCGATGTGTAGAAAGGGAGTGGGGCCAAATTTACAGAGGTAGTTTAAAAGATTGTGCTGTGAAGGGAGAAAAGATTACGGGCTTGAGGTCAGTTGCATGTTGAAACTACAACCGTCTTCTCGCAGGTTTCGCATCGCACCTCGCAACACCAATGGAACTTGCACTTGCATTTCTCTTGCTGCAAAAACACTTCCCTTCGGAAATCCCGACCACAGCAAAGAAAGTTGCAGTTATCCGGCCCCTTAGAATCCACACTGCACCGTCGACCATAGGTCCCGATGCTTCCAAAACGTGGATCGTGATGGCAATATGAAGGAGACCGTGTGGTGAATATGAGCTCATTCTCTTTTGGCATGGGGAGATTAGTGATTGATGTAGACTCCGATGCCATTGATCGTGAATAGCCGTTTCCGATGTGAACTGGCGCCAGCCTATAGAGGGCTGACTTGGGAACCAGGCGGTTGTTAACATATTCAACCAGTACTGCATCTTGGAAGAGTTCCCGCAGTTGGCTTCCAACCGAACGAAAATCGGGGAGGGCGCGCCAGCACGTCCGCATTTCACAGGAGCCGCTTACTCCGTGGCATTTGCATTTAATGTCCATCTTGTTGACGACAGCCTAGGCGGGAAGTTAAACGTCCATGAAGTAGGTCAAAAAGTGCCGGTGTAATAATCAGATGAAATACGAACCAGGAGAAAGTAACGTGCATTCTCCTAAATGTCTACATCAGAATAATGTCGCTAAGCCCGAGAAAGGATGGGGTCAATTGTGTGATTATCTTAGTTAATCTGTTTGCTTTGACTGTTTGATAATACGCGTTTTTCAGTTAATTAACAATATTACCTTATGATTAATCTCTTTTATTAATACTGGTTAGCTGAAATTTTATTTTGAGTAAGACAATATCAATTAGCACATCCCGTTGAAGATTGACAGTCTGTTGTCTCAGAACGTATTCTGAATTTTAACTTAACTATTTTTATCACGCACAATAAAATCCCACAAGGTTACAAGCGCATTCACTTTAAAATGCTGCACGAAGGGCATAGAATGCCTTCAATGTTATTAGTTATGGTTTCAAAATAAGTTAACGTAAATTAAACGTTGTTTAAATGAATTCGGATATTTTAGGACGGCCATTAGAACAGCGAGCACCATCGTAAAGTCAGTGTTTTTAGAAGTTTTATTACTAACAAGATATTCCTTTAAATTACCAGTTACCACATATTTGTCGCAGGTCCCTACGCAGTGCAAAACACACAATGACAACACGGTTTAGGTCAACCAATGCAGAACCTCACTGTGTATACCATAATGGGAAAAGACTAAGTCGAGAAATGCACAAGTTTTGTAACAATTACGTGTAGAGGCACTGATTTATTTTGAAGCATATCCAGAAAATGCAATCTGCTGAAAAAATTGCCGATTTGGTGATGTTGGTCTCGTATCATTAAAGGCTTAGAAAACCCATTCCATCTACTAAAACAGTTGCTATGCTCAATTTTTTCAATTTGCAATTAATGAAGTCAAGGTCTCTTAAAATGCAAAGAAAGAATTCAACTACTATTGTAGGAATACAAATACAAACGACTCTACTCATGAAAATACAGTAAGAATTTTGCTTACTTGTCGACCAACATGGTTATTGTGTAGGTTCGTAAGTCCAAGCTTCGGGTTTCTGAGAACACGACTTTTTTCTCGCGAGTCTAGAAATTTTCTGGAAAATGCAGCTCCAAAGTGTATGTTGTCCGAACACCCCGACCACTCGAAGTTTGGTTGGCGTTCATGATCGTAGATGGTTCGGTCGCAACCGCAGCTGTCATGCATCCCCGAACTACAGGCTTTTGTGACCGCATGTGAGATTCCGGCTGAAGTTACAGCCAAAACATACGCGGATTCACGTGTACCTTCAGAATTAAGAACGAAACAGGATGGAATTATTGCATTGGGATGACTCCCTTGTTTAAAATGTAAAAAAAATTGACTATACTTCCTCCTCCAATCACACGTAATCAATTAATTCGGGCAGTGTATTAGGTTATGGGCTAATGTAGATGCTAATATTTAGGTTGGATTTGTGGTGTCGTTCAAAGTGAGGTTTGTTAGACCCAAAATACTTTATTTGGATGGCATCGATATGTCAAATTTCTAAAGTAAAAAGAACAAATGCCAAATTATTCATAAAATCTATCAAATATTTGATGTAAAAATTTAAAGTTGTTGCGTTTTCCCGTAACCAATAAAAATCCACTCAGATAAACGGTACCAGATCCCTTGTCTGACACTAGAACCGACCTTCTCAAGCTAATGCAAAACAAGACCAGGGCTCGTGCAGAGAATTTTAAGCGTCTCAGCTAAAGGGCGAGTGATCTGTCATAATGTGAACACTTTGACCTAGGGGATGAAAACGGATTAACACAGATGTTAGGGAATTTGTGTAAATAATGAAGAAATCGGCAAATGAGCCATCTTGGGGAATCCTGGATCCCCAGCACAAGGTTGGACTTATGCAGTAACCGTTCATTTCAAGTTCTTAAATGCTGAGAAGTTGATCAAGTTATCGAATTGAGCTTCCCCAACAACTAAATAAAACCGGCTTATCTCTTCCAAATTTTGTGGTCATTTGTAATATATTAACATGTCGGTTATTTCAGGCTTTAAAACTAACGCAGATTTTGGTGCTAAGGTGATACAAGGTGAATTCAGTTGACTTTTCTGAATTTCAAGTTCACGGTTCAGAACAATTTGCAATTCCTAGGGCACTAAAGTCTATGAAGGGATTGTGGAACCCCAGTAAAACCCTAGATAGTCCTCTTAAGACATAAACTTAGCAAAGATTTATTTACCTGGTGTCTTGTGCACCTAAATAATAGTTTAACAGTTTAACGCATATCTTTGAGAGATAACTATCTACGTACTATCTACGTGCTTGATAAAAAGCAACTTGTCTGTTCCGTTCTACAGGAATGTTGTCCTTTACCTTGGCCAACGTCAAAAATGACAAAATTAATGTTGGTGGTTTTTAATTTTAGGTCCCTAAATCTATTATTAAGTAACTAATTTAGATACAAGAATAAATTCTTGCTCTATACGTTTAAATATTTTCGGGCAATCAACTCATGAGTGATTAGCTTTAAAGTTCAAAACCACCGAATATTTAGATGTACATAACAACCGAAAATAAAGGAGTGTCAATTAAAACTAACTTTTTACACTACAATCTACATCTGACGGACTTGCTATTACCTTTCCGCATGCAAACCGGAGTAGCCTCGTAGTGGTAGGCTTGCACGTGCCTCAGACAAAGCAGGACATACTTTTGACTGTGACGAATTTATTGATGTGTTCCAGTCGATGGAAATGAACTTGCGTGGCCAGTATTTTGATATTTCGACCGACCACGAAACGATCAAAGACTATGTCCATGCAGGCAGGCGGCTTAATCGTTAGAAGGTTGGACAACAAGCTCGCCGATACTAGGTTTCATGCCAGGTGGAGGAAAGCGGTCCCCTTGATCTACGCACGCGTGTGTAGTGTTTACAACTGACAAGTTTGAGTGCCGGTGTTCTGGCATTTTTTCGTGCACGCGCGCCTGCGCCCAGATAACATGACTCACATTTCGACGGACTAACCAAGTTTAGCCATGCGCACGCATTGAGTGGAGTTTGCTATTCAGGACATTCGGTTTCGTTGTCCCATGCAACTTGCTCCTGGGTGCCTCAAAATCCGTTTCTCTTGGCAATGTGGCGGCAAAGTTATAAAATCGAAATTTGGGTTTTGTAACGTCTGTATTATTTACGGTGTTAAGAACTAATGAACGTGGTGACTAACTGGTGCAACCCAGAGATCCTGAAAAACCATTATTTGACAGGTAGAACAGGGCACTTATTCATTTAATTAACTACTTTTAGGCTAACGCACAAGGGCTGTCGAAATACCAATAACGCGTGCCATTAGCTAGACAGAGTTTCAATTCCAGTCATTCTTCAACATTTTATTAATTGTTTTATAGTAGCATTAGTAAAAAAAGCATTCAGTGATTATAAATAATATCAAGTTCAAAATTATTGTAAAAAATTCCTGGATAAAAATAAGTTCAAATAGCAATCAAGAGCATCCCAAGCCTCGACTGCTAAATCTTACTTATAAAAATCAGCGTAAGTTGATGGAGTGTAATATGAACTTGAAAACCGCAGTTTGAAATTGTAATCACTGCCAGTTCCGATGAGGGGGTTGGTCAAATATTGACATAAACGCAGTGAATAAATACCAAGACCCGTCGGAATTATTTTTTTTAAGTTCGCAGCTTCTAGAACGAATTAGTCACTGCTCACATTAAAAAGGTAAGTCAAAGTGTTTCAGAATTTGATTACTCAAACTAGTTGCTGAAGCACTGTAATACTAAAATGTAATTTTGAGCATGGATTCAAAAAAATCTTTAAATACCCTCTAGCCGAAATGGCCTCAATTTTCTCCAATGAAAATTCTATGTCGTCTTAAATGGGAAAAGAGCGATGAAAAATTATATTTTTTTAAAATGTCACTAAAATGCCGAAGGCGTAGTTGATGATTCTACTGATAACGAGTAAAAGAGTAAAGCCGATCACCAACTAAGGCTAAATTGTGCAAAGATTCCCATCAAGCCACACGACTTTAATTTCGTTTGGTTTTATTTCTAAGGTAAATGATACATCGCATAGCTCAGTACGCTTCCAATTAAGTAAAAACTTCGGCCTAAACGAGTGTTCGATTTGGCAGGTTTCGACAAAGTTCGTCACGGATTTTCTCCAAAAGAGATGCGCCATCACTACTCACATTTATTCTAGTGTTGCGACAAGAATGGCAGAGCTTCCCGTTGATGATTTTTCATTGAATGGATTGCTACATGCATGAAGCATGCATAAAAGAGTAAACACTAGTTGAAGTACAGATATAGAATGGACCACATTAGGTAGTGCCAGACAAAGACACTACAGACTTAAAACAGACTTCGCAAAAAAAAGAAAACCACGTAGAGGATTGACGTTTTTCAGGCTTATTGACTAGGCCTTTAAAGGTGTCAATTTTGTGAGTTTGGATAGGAAATTCCTTTATATCTTGATTACAATCCTGAACTCTTTTATTTTTTTCATTTATACACGTAAAACTACTCATAGTGGTTTACCGACGAAACGAATCATGAGAAGAAGGAGACGGAAGACTCCAGAAATGTACCAGCATCAATGTTTAAACGCATGATTTGTGTAGGTTCATTATTCCGAAAATTCTTAGTTTCCGCTTTGAATGAGGCTCGTAAATCTTGTGAAAGTTAATAAAGAAACATGCATTAAATCCCTCTTCTCATATAGTAATTAAGATGTCGTGTGATGAATTGTTGAATACGAATTTTTTAAGGTTTTCTCAATTAATGTTATTTGTTCCCCACTCACGCATAAATAATGACCTCAATGTCAAGAAATTATTCTCCTGATAAGAGTTAGAGGGGTATTTTTAATTGCAATCAAGGGTGAATGTTGATATCTCTGGTTTAAATTCGGAAAAAAATGCTCAATGCGTATGTGTCTGTTTTGGGTACCTGGCCAAATGTTTCCACATTACCACCTAAGTCATTGCGTTTGAAAATTTTTTTACTTACACCAAGAATTTTGTCAGTGAAGACCTTAGAATTGGTATTTAAATAAATAAACACATTTCTCGAAATCAGAATCTGGCTTAACAGAATCATTATGAACCAAATTATGCTTGCAATTCAACGGAATAGACGTTAGGAAGTTACTTTTCAGCTTAGAATGTTTGAGGAAACCTGACCTTAATTTCCCTATACGTATTGGTTCTTGACTTTTTCTGCTCTAAGAAAAAGTGTAATTTAAAAAAAATCAATTATTCCTGTCTTTATGTTGTCTGTTTAGTTTAATTTTTTAGTTCAGTGCATCTAAATGAGAAAACTTCTTAACTAAAGTAGAAGGCACAAAATTACGCTAGTTAAAAAAACCATGTTTCCTATCAAATTGTCACACTCCCTTTGAAAGTTTCTCCTTACCTTTATTGCCTAGAATTGCACGAATTAATAATTGTGAATTTAAATTTGGGGGCGCTTTGCAACTATACAATGCTGGTCTATTTTTGTCGGAGGAGGAAGGAGCAGCGGATTATTGCAGTGGCGCCCTTTTTTGTGTTCCATCTACTGATTTTTTCCTCGAGTTGTACCATTTTCTCGGCCATAAAGGTCATCCAAGCCGTGGGTCTTGGGCTGCTTTCTTCAAATCGCGGTAGATGCCTACATTTTATTAATTGGGTGCTTAGCATTGCATTGGCATTCTCGTCTACAGTCAACATATTTGTCCAGCTAACATGAAGCAGAGATTTTAGGAAAATCACTGGTTCACCCCTCAATCCATTTATGCCTTGAGGATGGTAACACCAGAGCTGCGGTAGCAGGGAGACACAATATCGACAAACTTTCAAATGATAACCACTCACAATGACCGTTCCCCTTCTCTTTTTCCCTCCTGTCGGTCCCTCCTGATGTGCTTCTTACATGCGTCATGACAAAGTACATAGCTAGCTCGCTGTGATCACTACTCATACTCTTCTAACTTAAATCTAGTAATAGTCTGGTGTCTGCATAATAACTACGTCCTTAATTTTAATACATTTACGTTCACTATGGTAGCTGTTGTCCAGTCTAACAGATTAAATGATTGGCATTAATCAAGTAATATGTGAAAGCATAAAATCTGAAAGCGTGAATAAATACATAACTTCATGTTTGCATGAATCGGTGTTCTAGGTCCAAGGAACCGGCGGACAACACGTTGTTTTGATGGTTGGAGCGACCATAAAGTGTTTTTTTTTTCATACGTCGTCTCACCCGTGGCCTCAGCCGACACATGTGCACCACATTAAAGGCAAGAAACGACAGTCTCGCGAGTAATCAAGCGACCTTCAAGATGCACAATTACGTATGCCAGAAGGGTTTGCAGCCCACAAATCTAGAGGTTCAGAATAAATCACTTAGAGTTCCATCCGGGGAGGAACATATCTGGATTATTTTGCAGACTTAACCCAATAACTTTGGGGCTTAATTAATGCACCAGGTCGATGTGGCATGCCCATCATTAATCTTATAAAAACCAAAATGGGCCACAGCATTATCTCCATTTCAGTCCAGCTAATAGCATTCATGTGACGGATGTGGACACAGATATTTGCACGACCAGACAACACCACGTAAAATTTGCCAGTTGGATGAGTGAGCCTTGTCCTGTGACATACTTATTGCACTGATGGAAAAAACTCTTTAACTTTACACGTCAGTGAGAGTTCACTCGAAACCAAGCTTTCACAAATTCACCTAATGCTACCCTCCCGAATTTGTCTTGCAATAGCTATAACCGTTTAATGTCACTATAGAGCAGTAAATCACATTTAGAAACTAGTTTGGAAGTGATGGCTAGGTCCATAAGTTTTAAAGTAGATTGAATTCAGTACAAATTAAAGTTTTGGAGTACTTCACAATTGTCAAAGCTTTCGCAAGATTTGTTTCATTTTGCTGAGTTAGATCTGATTCCGACATGATGCTTCATTATACAATCAGAGTTCAGCCTGTAAATTAAGTTTTGAATTACAAGGGTATTCAGAAGTGTGTATGAGAAAGAGTACGCAAGCGCTATATCCTAAAGACTAGCATGACACATGGTCTTTTGTATTATTTAATGAAAAGAAACCTGTTTAGTCAGGGTTGATTGGCCAGATCGATTTGGGGTACCACACTTTTCGATTTGATACCTCCACTTCGAGTCTATTGACTAAGGCAGTCCCGAAGATTGTGCGTCGATGAAGGGTAATTTTGCATGGTAGCTTTTGTATAAGACTTACTTACATACGCCTCAAGTTTAGCTTAGACAACCAGGATATTTAGTGAATTATTTGCCCATGCACTTTGAAAGAATTTGTTTACGTGTTCGTGACAAGTAGCTACGATTCTTCGAAAACACACGCACACATGCCCATGATTAATCATATTTGCGACATTTTTATCTTCCCGCTTTCTTTTTCATACACTGAAGTCTGAAGCTGCTTCCGGCAGAACATCAGGATATCTTATCTCTCACAAAAGTTGAAAGCAAAAGTAAATTCAACAGTTGAACTTAGATTGATAAATATTTCACAAGCACATCGTCTTTTGTAATTTTCTGAATGATGGAAGTCAGAGGTATCCATGTTTTCAAATGATCGCTAAAACAAATAGCACTTTAAAAACTCTGGTAACTGGGTAAATCGGTTGACCGTTTATCTCTTGCGATTGTTTCTCATATGAAAACTGTATTCTGGCGGTCATGATGCTAATTATTGCGACCATCAAAGACGCTTTGAGTCCGTATCTGACCCGCACTTCAGCTACCTCGGCTCACATGACCCATGCT